GCAGGGCGGCGGGTTCAATGTCTTCTTGTTTTATGGTTATTTTGTTTAAATTTTTGATGGGGGAAAAAAAAAAAGATTAAAAAAAAAAAAACTTTGTCCGACCTACCGACCCTATGCTAAAATTTCTTGTTACCGGAAACACACTATCTTTTTTGTTTGGCCTTAATTGTTATTGCAATACTAGTGTAACCTGTACTACAAATGACTTGTGTTCTACATACTTAGCCAAGAAAGATGATTCTGATTCTCATAGTTGTAGTTTTAATAGTTTTAGTATCAGTCGTTGAATGAGTGTTTAGTAGTACTGATTGTATTGGTAGTAGTAATAAAGGTGTAATAATAATAATAATAACAATAATAATAATAATAATAATGATTATGATCATTTATTAATTACTATTATTATTATTATTCGTAGTAGTAGTAGTAGTAGTTGTAGTAGTAGTAGTAATAATAGTAGCAGCAACAGCAATAGTAGTACTTAAGATACCTAAGATGATAAGAACTATTTATTTAGAACAGTAGTGTCAAACATACGGCCCACAATGAGGTTCGATCAGGCCCGCAGGATCATTTAAAAGTGAAAAAAATGCATAAAAGACACGGAATGAATATTTTTAATAAGGTGCAATTCGTGGTGTATCTGCTATGGGAGACAATGTTTTGATCAGAGTAGAAGACGACATTGTTTTGATCAAAGAAGAAGACAATAGCAGTCCCAGTCTGTCACTGAGACAGACCCAACACAGCAGACACTATCAAGGACATGTGAATACTTTATTCTTTACACATTTAATAGCACTCTCCTTAGTTTGTAAGGTGTAGGCAGGGATTAAATTGCTCTCTTCGGGCAGCAGGCGGGGGACACCCTGAATTGGTTGCCAGCCAATCGCAGGGCACACATAGACGAACAAACATTCGCACTCACAATCACACCCTGGGGACAACTTAAAGTGTTCCATTGACCTGCCACGCATGTTTTTTGAAATGTGGTGAGGAAACCAGAGTACCCACGCAGGCACAGGGAGAACATGCAAACTCCACACAGGAAGGCCAGAGTCGGAATCAAACCCCGCACCTCTGCACTGTGAGGCCAGCACGCTAACCAGTTGACTACCGTGCTACCCACCCACACTTCTATCAACTTACAAAAAAATGTCCAGATTTTTCTCATACAGGTCTGCCTGACAGCGACGGCGTCAACAACAATGATACTAATCGTCATGAGTTGTCAGCCGTCAACGAGCTACCGGAGCGTTCCAATGATGGCAAAGACAGCACCAGTGCTTACGGCAGCTGCGAGAGCTGCCACGGCACGCCATTAGTCAGCACCGTACGAATCTCGCCCCTTCGGGATGGCGAGGCACCCATGGCTCCGCCTTCCCACTGGGAGAGATGCCACTCCAAGCTCGGATCCGGCAGCTGGGATGGCCACGTGATCAACACGTCGCCCTCCAAGTTCAGGTCCAAAGATTAGTCACTGTAAAAAAACAAACAAAGAAACAGACAAAAAAAACATGCAAAAACACCATTCATTCAAAGACTCTAAATTGTCTATGTGTGAATGTGAGTGTAACTGCTTGGTTTTCTATGAGCCCTGTGATTGGCTGGGATAGGATCTAATTGACCCTAAACCCTGAGGACAATAACTAGAAAAGTCGATGGATGGATGGCTGAATTTCCAATTTCAGTATGACAAAATAATGCTTTTAAGGTGTCATAAAATTACAATTTGTTTTCACTTCCATAGAACTCTGTCCAATGAATTGGGATCACCCTCTCGACGAGGGATGGCTGAAGGAGGACATGGTTCCAGAACAGCTAATGTGCCAAACACATTCTGATTCTTCAAATCAGAATGAGCTCACTTCGAACAAGGAAAACAGTGTACTGGAGATGGCCAACAGAGCCTAACACACATATGACCATCTCTTTCAGAGACTAACTAACCTATGAGGGACAGCATGGTGCCACAGGGCATCCAGATTTCCAGAAAATACAAAGAAGGGAGTAGCGGAAGATAAAACAGAATAAGATCATATGATAACTGTTAGCTAACCCAATAACTCCGCTTCTCAACTCAACTCAACCATCGCTGCATATAAAGTGCTGTACGGTGGTTCTCATTTTTCTTGAAATGACGTGATTGACCAGGTTTACATTTAACGGATTTTCACAACCACAAGACGCACATAAAAGTCTTAAATTTAAAAGAATAAGGGCGAGAATAACCTATTCTCAATATATTCAATAGTTACAGCCCTTATTTAAAACCAGTTCAAAATCTTGAAGCCAGGGCTAATATGAAAGCCAGGGCTGAACTTTGAAGGTATGTCTCAACCTTGAAGCCAGGTCTAATGTGAAAACCACTTCCGAACCTTAAAGTTAGGGTTAATAAAACAGTCATGTTTAAATTATGAAGCTAGGAATGGACTTTGAAGCTGGGACAGAACATTGAAACTAAGTCGGAACCTTGAGGCCAGGTCTGAACCCTAAAGTCTCACCTTCAAGTTGGGTCAGTCCTGAACCTTGAAGCCACATCTGAACCTTAAAGCCAAGTTCTAAAGTTTAAAGCCAAATCTGAACCTTAATATCAGGTCTGAATCTTAAAGCCAGGTTCTAAAGTTTAAAGCCAGGTCTGACCCTTAACGTCAGGTGAAAACCATTAATCCCGTTCTGAACCTTCAAACCAGGTCTGAACATTGAATCCAGGACTGGCACTTAAAACCAGCTCTGAACCTTAACAGAGATGTTAATCTTAAAGGGGTATAGAACATGATGAATGAACATTTGGATGCAGGAATCGCCCTCACTAGGCCCCGTGGAGGAAGTGCAGAGTCCAGCCCCTTCCTAGCCCAGCGGCGCCAAAGCCGAGCCAAAGCATTGGAGCGCTACCACAGCTGCATGGTGCTGCCCTCCGATGGCCTACTGGAGCCACTGGATCGGGAGCTGGTTGAGGACAGAGGGGCAGGTATAGGAAGCAGTGAACGGGCCAGCCCGCGCAGTGCGAGCAATGTCCCCTGCGGTCCGGAAGGCCGCCACGCACCCTCCTGCTTGGGCCTGGCGCAACCATTAGCACTGGCTCACTCATCGCCTACCGCGACAGGACAGCGCATGGAATGGAAGGTAGGGGACAACTGGACATGGGGCGTATGGCTTTTAAGGTTTGGGAAAGACTGTTGGCCTTCAATACAGTTCTTTCTCAGACGAGAATCCGTATATGACTCAAGCTTTAGTCTGGTGTCGTCTTCATCATTCATGCTGTTGCTGTCCAGGTGAAAATCCGCAGTGACGGCACTCGCTATGTGGCCAAGCGGCCAGTCAGAGACCGCCTCCTCAAGGCGAGGGCCATGCAGATCCGAGAGGAACGCGGCTGCACGACCACTGATGACGATGCCGCTGCCAGCGAGATGAAACAGGTATGCCAGCAAGACATCAATCACGTCTGAGCTGCATGAGGAGTGTGTTGTCATCCAGCCAAGTGCAACACTATATCGCTGGCATCGGGCCAAAAACTCATAAGTCACGATGTAGTAAATTGCATTTTTTCCCCCAAATCTATCCTATTGGTCAGTTCACAAGTGGGGGCGTTATTTTTACAAATTACTGACCAATCTGAAGTAGTGAAAATGACTTGCACTCTTCAATGATGCAGAGTTAATGGTTGAATAAACATGCCGTTTTGGGGGGGACTCCTGAAAAGTGACTATTTTGGAGGTACAAGGCTTCGTCCGGACACCAGCGAATTGAATTAAAGTATCAGGTACCTTCACTTCAGACATGACACAGCTCAGTGAAGTTAAACAAACAAATAAAAAAAAATCTTTATTTATATAGCACTTTCACAACAACCACAGCTGTAACAAAGTGCTATGCATAAAACATAAACGACAATAACAATTAAAATACAGTGTCATAAATGCCTCAATAACTTTTAGCGTAGAGGAGATGTTGAGTTGTATTCCCTCTTGCTGCACATGTGTGAAGCTGTTAGATGATGAGAGAAGGGCAAGAATGACGTCTCCATTGACCAGTAAGAAGGCTTGAGAATTGTCATCTCACAATCACAGCTTGCATGATATCAGTTACGTTTGCTACATTGAAGGTAAACAAGCAACTGTAGTTTTCAGACAAATGATGATTTGTCCATTGGTGAGTAACACATGTTAGAAATAAGAAGGGTGAGCTAGGCCATTGCGTCGCTGTGACCTTTACTGCTGGCTCGGCATCTTCGTATGTAACTGCACTTCTGCAGATATATCTAGTTAGAACCAGTTAAGACCGTAGAGTCGGACATCATCATGTGGTATGGCCAGAGCTACCCTCCTGCATGGGTATGGCTTAGGGTGTACAAAGACTACGAACCCTTTTTGACAGATTCGAACTTTTTTCACAATCGTGCAGAAAAAGTTTTTACAGCTGTAGATGCGATCTTTTTGACATTCACTCAAGAGCCCAACAGAGAATATACAGTCTTCTGGTGTTTACTGCTAATAGTGCGCAATAAAGATGAAAGGACTGGATGAGGGATTCACACAGAACTTTTGAGTTGGTGCCATGACCCAGATCACACACATACAGAAAGATGAGTTAAATTCTCTCATCCCATTCAATCATCTCCCTTGCTTCACTTTATTCATGACAATTGGAAGTGTAAACTCAACAGGGCCGCTACTGGAGCAAAGAGGAGAGGAAGCAGCATCTGCTGAGGGCCAGAGAATACAGACAAAGACGAGAGTTCATGATGCAGAGTCGCGTGGACTACCTGAAGGGTGACAGGTAAAGACGCACAGTGCATGAAGAGCGTCACCACCAAATCCTTCGTTCCAAGACTTGATTCTTCTAATTTTCGTTAGCAGGGACGCGGTATCATCAGCAGATGACACCGTCGAGCTTCCTGTCCCTGTCCATAATGACAACGTAGTGCCCCTGAGCCAGAAGAAGATGAGCAGGAAGAGGAACCGCCGCATTCTCAACAACTGGAACACCATCCAGGAGCTGCTGGCTCATGGCTCACGCTCCCACGACGGCAAGAAAATCTTTAACCCTCTCCTCTCCTTCACTACTGTGTGACGTGCAGATGACAGCGCGAAGAACGGAGAACTAGCAACACTGGTTTACAAAAACTTTTAGTCATAGATGTCTTTATGTGTCCCTCAACGCATTTTCAGATTCTAAAAAAATGTCTTTACCTTTTTTCCAACATATCAGGCATTTGAGTTGTGATACTTTTGTTTTTAAGTTTGACATATTGGAGGATATCATAAAAAATCGTTGACTTTCCATCCGAGTTTTAACCCCTGCAGATTAAAAAATATAATTTAATTTAGATTTCCCCAATCCTAGGAGCTTCATTTTCTCTTTTAGTTTTTTTTCTTGCCGAGACCTCTGCCAAACACATGCGTGCATGCACACGCTTGGAGGCCCACACGGACAGCCACTCGAGAGAACTGCAATCGCCACCTAGTATTTTTGCTGGGTGTCCAATTTAGTATTGTGACTTGTGTGACATGATATTCTGTTTTACAACCTTGAAATGTGTTTGAATATATTCACTAAGCCCATCGCGGAACCCCAAAACAACAACAGGGTATAAGTACTTTGCTATAGATTTAAATCCCACTAAGTCCACTTCATAACAAAAAGAAGCTGTACCCACACATTGGAAGCTCATCTTACAGTCATTTACAGCCATTGACCTCCTCTTGCTGATTTTTGTCCTTTCTTTTTGGCGTGCTCCAAGTCACGCTATCGAAATTCAACGTGATTAACAGGTGATTGGATGAATTGTCATTTCCTCCTCCCATAGCAGCCACTCAGCGTGATTGACCCGCCCCGCGCTATTCTCTTTAGAAAAACAGGGATCTGATGGAATTCTGGACAGCTGGTTCTTCCCCTTCCCCCCTTGACCCCCCCCCACCCCCCTCCTTCATGGACCCATAAGGCTGTCTGGGCCCCAGTGCATGCACCATTTACTCTGTTGATATTTATGCCAATGTTAACAAGTGAGGAAGCGTATGTTGACGCTGGAGTGTTACGGCTTTGAATGTGTTTACTCTTGCTCTTGAAGTCTGTATTCTGCTCATATTTGGTCATGCTGTATAACCTTCCCATGCCCATAGCGTAGCTTGGCGTCCTTGGAACAATCATCTCCTAGAATTGGAATACTCTTGTATTATTCCTCTCTTCTTAGTTAGATTTGATGGTAAGGTGTTATTCCTCTCTGTTAGTTGTGTTTGTTCAGACACTTGAAAGAAACAATGTAGAATGCTGTTGAAGGTATTTCCTGCTCAATGTGTTTACAATCACCTTTAGTGCCCCTCGACCCCCACCACTTTTAGGGCCCCCCTCCAGAGGACATGTTTAACATCAAAAGAGGAACTGTTATCTCAAGTATCTGTGTTCCTGCCATCACACCAAATGGTGGGTAGTGGTGGTCTGGTCTCACCTCACCACTCCCAACTTCTTCCAGCCACACCGGGTCAGATGACACGTTACTTTCTTTGTTTCTGGGATTTGCATGAGAGGCATACCTCCCCGCCTCTCATTATCATATCGTCTCTATATAGTCTCATGAATGTGTTTCTTTTACGCTTCCTGATTGAAATCTGGACCCCTCAGGAGCCCGAATCGATTCGTAAACTGCAGAAAATAAATTAAAACCATTCGAAGGAACTGTACATCGCCTCCAGCCTTTATTTGGATTACCAACATTCTCCTCGTCCAAAATTCAACAAACACGCGGGGAAGAGGAGGCCGCTCTTCCCCCAACACTCTCGTATCACCGCACACACAACAAAGTCAAATAAAAAGCAAAACTAAGAGGGGGGGTAGTTAATTCTTTGGTGATCGTTACCCAGCCCTCGCGAGGAACACTGCTGTCTTCGTTATGGAGACGATCACGAATGCATGCACGCAACTAAGAAATAGCATTCTTGAATGAAATGTAGCATAGGGTAGACAACAAGTTGGATGTTGTGTTGACAATTTGAAAGAACAATGACATTACCACAGACATGCACGCACACTCAATCAATAAATCCAGTTTGTCTGGAACACCTCCTTGTCTTTTTGTACGCTAAATACTCTCTGTGTCACATGAAATACTGTTTGCACCACCTTTAATACTTTTTGCCCAACCTAATTACTGTACGGGGTACCCAAAACTAAAAATGGCACTGCCTTAGGTATTATCTGTGCAATGTTGAATACTGTCTGTTACCTTAAACACTGTTTGCGTTACCTGAAACCACCATGACTTTGAATACTATGTATCCAACCTTAAATATGGTCCGCAGTGTCATAAATACTATATATGCTACCTTAAATACGCTTGTGTTATCTAAAATAGCATCTTTGATACCTTAAACATTGCTTGACATGTCTGCACTTCCTGAAAAACTAGCTTCACTACCATAAATCCTGTTTGTGCTACCTTACCATCTCAATATCAACATTTAACTTGTGTTATTTTGAGCAACTTGTTCTCCAAACTATTTTTTTGTTTTTGTTAGCGACAGCAGCTAATTTGTGTTGGCGACCATTCATGAGATTTTTGTTTCCTTTTTTTTAAGACAACTTCCTCTTTATATAGATGACTTTCATATTAATCACGCCACAACAGGAGGTTGCACAAGGATGTTAATATCTAACTTAATGTCCTTGTGCAACCTCCTCTCTGGCCACAGTCACGCAAAGGAAGTTTGTGCAAAGTTCTTTCGAGCTCTGATGTTTAGTCATAACATTGTGCAGCAGGATCCATTTCAGGATGATTTTTTATCGTCTTCTGTTGCTCTGCATCTTCTCAGGTTTGATATGCAGCATTCAAAATTAAGTTCATGAAATGTAATTCATAATGGTAATTGTGGGATTAAATACAGTGTGCATTACCTGACAAATTCTCTTTAATGTTTACAGAGAAAAGATATACTGTACTTAAAAATATATCCTGATGGGAACACATAGAGTATGTCTTGTTGACTCAACTTTGTTTGATACAGTATTTACAAAACAGCATGTTTGGTTTGCATAAGATTGTGAAATGTCTTTGCTGTTCACCTCACAAACTAATTTTGGTTGATTTCAAGATTTTAAATCGTATTACCAAAATGTACTCTCTATTCACTGTAGACAATCTTCTTTTTGATATTTCCCAAAACACATGCGTGCGGTTAATTGAAAACTGAATTGTGTCTTGCACTTTAGCACTTGTAACGCCAACTATAGTGGCATACAAAGTGCAGCATGTGAAGTAACAATCAGACATCTCAAAAAAAGACGGTTAAAACAATAAATTAATAACATTAAAACACATGCTCAGTCACATGCTCTAACATAACTCTAATTGCCCCACGGGGATAAATAAAGTTTTCTGAATCTGAATGCTGAGCCGAAAGCCAAAGGGAAAAAAACATTGTTTAAATTGCGTTTTAATGATGGGCAGAAAGGGGGCTTGACCAACATTCAACGTGAAGTAATTCCAGAGGAAGCCATGGAAAACAAATACAATGAAAAAGCAGGTGCCTCAAAAGTGAATCAGGTGGAACACCATACGACAGAGGTGCAAAGTGGGATTCAGAGGAACCAAGGCTAACAAAACAAGAATCCTGCGTGCCAAATCCAAAACACTCTAAAACAGTGGTGTCAAACTCATTTTTTGTCGCGGGCCACTTCAGAGTTATGGCTGGTACAAAATCTCGTTATTTATCACCCATGACGATTTGACATTTCAATACAGATTTCAGCAAGAATCATGATAGTTGACACCCATGATTTGCTCCTGCGGGCCACATAAAATGATGTGGGGGGCCGGATCTGGCCCCTGGGCCTTGACTTTGACACCTGTGCTCTAAAAAGACCAAAAGCACTACCACGAATGCCCACCTGGTGCTGAAAACGAGCCAACAAGACTGTGGTTGACTGGATGAAACACTGCAGTCAGGCCCTAAAACACAAATCACAGTCTCCAACAGGATGTCATTAAAAACTCATAACAAGACTGACTCTGTGCGATGCAGCATCCTCAAATCTGACTGAAAAACCTCCAGAAAAAGATGTAAATTGATGATTATGTAGTGTAATGAAAGATTTTTTTGTAATTGTGTAATATATACTTGCGAACATCACCCAAATAGTAAAGCTATGAATTTGAATGACTATGATTATGGTTTGCTCAACAACACATTCCTACTGTGTTTGCAGTACTGCAGGAGAAAAGCGTCAGCCTCGTCATCTTCCAAACAAGAGAGGGACAGAATGCTACAATCATGTGGCGGTTTTCCACCAGTGGCAAAAAGTACTTCTGCAGGGATGAATGCAGGGGCACCACCGCTCTCGTTGAAACCGACAACGTCAGCGCTAAGAGGGGCAGGCACAGCATCAAGTTCGAAGAAGGAAACCTCTATGCCTTTATTGTCAATCTGAATGTGGCCGACAGCGGGCACTACAGGATTGGTGTGGGCTCGCCGCAACTAGCAAACTCCTACAGTGACTTCCAGATTCGAGTTCTTCAAGGTGACTCACAAACGTTCCAAGTTATGGCAATATGGCATGATTCTTTCTTATGACTGGCTGTCTGTCAGCCCTGAGATCATTTAGAAGCTCAAAAGTTGCATTGCTAAAAATACTATGGTGGCTATTTTCATAGACAGCTCATCTGCAGCGACATCCAAATGCCACCGGGACCTGAATTTCTTGCAAGGCTCGCTGTTCATGTTTGCCAATTTGACAGACCAGTCTCTGCCAAGCTGGGCGTGCCGACGCACCAGAGGCAGTGTTGCTGGCTGGCACAACTATGGGGATGCACACGAATGACTAGGATTGGGGGTGGGGGTGGTCTTCAGTGCCCACTTTCCAATGTGTGGGGTTCGGAAACTAGTTTCCTGAGTGGTGGAACACCCGGTCTTTGGTTTTGCCTTGTTTCAAAATCTGAGTTTCCATTTTGCTTGTCGTTGCATGATGTCGTCACCTTGCCCATTACAGCCCATCAAAATGCACAAATCAGCTTTCACATAAACTAAAAATACATTTCCGGGTTTTATGATGGCAAAACCCAGCAGGCGCCCCAAACCAAACACTACATAAGATATACATAAATTGTCTTTTACATCAATACTTAAGGATATTTATAATTTCATATGAACGCGTAGATGAAATCGTGAAGCTTGAAGTCAGTCCGCCAAATTGTGTGAGCGATGAACATACTGCGCCAGATTTAATTGAATGGGAGCGGGTGAGCTTCTCTACATAGACTCACTTTTTTTTTTGTACTCATTCAAGTCCTCTCTGTAGAAAATTGCTTATTCCTTGACTCTTACTTTATTTTTATAATGGTTTAAAAAAGTGATAAAATATATGCAGCCTCAAAAGATCAAGTCGCTCAATGTGGGAGTGTGTGTGCTCCAGTCCAAGTCAGGCCCTGCTGAATCGCATCTGAGTGCGGTGGGCTTGTGGGGCTGGAAGAAATCCTCACCATGAATTGTTTCAGCAGCGCAGCCGGGCGGACGTTTGGCCGATGGTCCATTAGTCCACATCCACACTGGACTGTCTGGCGGGACTGTGGTGGTGATCTGTCCCTTCCTTGTCTCCGGAAGCGTCAAGTTCTTCTGCAAAGGGAATTGTCTTGACGGACACATCCTCATCAGAACTACCGAAGACGCCGCCCTGGTGGGCAGGTACGGTGTGGACTTCAGAAAGGACGCCTTTATGAAGGCGTTTCTTCTGGTGGTGACTATCTCCCAGTTGGACAAGTGGGACTCGGGGAGGTACTCGTGCGGTTTGGGTCAATCTCTGCGATCCGCTTCCATTCAGGAGTTTGACGTCAGCGTGACCGATGGTGAGATTCCGACAAAAATTATTCCGCTCTTTGTTTCTTGTGGTCCGTGAGGACATATGACTGTCTGATCGTCTCAGGCCCCTCACTCAAGCCAAGCTCCGAATTTGAACTCACAAAGTATCCCTCCAAGGAGACACAAAAAGGTAACCGTCATCTTCCCTCTTTCACATTTTTCACCAAGAGTATTTTCAATTTCCTCACACCCAGTTGCTTCCCATCTATATCGTGTTTGTCCCCATGCTCTACCCATAGTCCTCCTCTCGTTTGTCCCATTTTCCTCAAACAATCAAATCACATCTCTTCTACACACCTTTGCTGTTCTACTCATCTTCTGATTTTTGTGCGCCATCCATCTGCCTCCGATGATGCTTCAGTACATTTCTGGCAGAATTCTTCCATTTGCTTCTCAACTCCTCACATGATCATCTTGTTCTTCCTTGCGCTTGTCATGATCCTCACGTTATGGTCTTCTTCATGAGAATTTTTCATGATAGTTAATTTTTTGTCTTTTTTGATTCTTGTTTTTTTTTTATTCTGGTCGTTTTAATTATCTTTTAGAGTGTGTTAGTTCCTTTTGATTAGTTTTAATTTGCAGCCTCAGTTTTTATTAATTTTAATAATATTTGTGTATATCATCTTGTTCTTCCTTGCGCTTGTCATGATCCTCACGTTATGGTCTTCTTCATGAGAATTTTTCATGATAGTTAATTTTTTGTCTTTTTTGATTCTTGTTTTTTTTTTATTCTGGTCGTTTTAATTATCTTTTAGAGTGTGTTAGTTCCTTTTGATTAGTTTTAATTTGCAGCCTCAGTTTTTATTAATTTTAATAATATTTGT